CCACACTCTCCTCTGTTCTGTAAGTCAACTGTCCTGTCATTCTGCAGAGTGCAGAGTTGGATTGCACTATTGATTCGTTGCTATTAAGGTAGGAGCGCTTGTTAATCAGCCCCTCAGACAGCGATTCAGCCAGGGAGCCATCAGATGGGCTGGCAATGGAGCCGGGCTGGCGAGTCAGGCAATCTGTCAACCGGACACTCAATCTTCAGGTCACTCAGCTTAAAAGATGTGCTGAACGAAAAGACCCGGCGAAGACAAAGAGTAGAAAACAGTGGAGTGGTGTGCATTAAGTGAATGTTAAAAAGTAATTAAAGTAAAATCAAAACTCTGTTCTGTTTTTTTTATGTTACAATAAGCTTATTACTATTGAGACATAAACCTACCTACCTACCTGCTAAATAAAACAAAAGAATAAAGAGCATGCCACTTAATATAACTGATTATAATGCAAAATATTTTGGCTTCACTACATTCCAGCATCCTCAGTTTTAATTTTTGCAACTAAGTTCAAGTGAACCCTGATTTAAAGTGTTTTCAGAAACCATTTCAAAGCATGATTTTTGTCATACATAGTTGATTAAAATGTACAAACATTACTAAAAGTTTGATTAATGAAACCAAAACCATAACCTAAAATGATTACATGTCTAAAAGTTTAATGGGTGTAGATTGAGTCATGCACCTCAGAAACACATTCATCATCATACATCGAGCCTGATGTCGAAAATATGTAAGATGCACAAGGGAATGATCGGATAGTTTGTGGTTTTCTACCAAAGCCTTATTTTTGATTGCTGATTTATTTGGTGGAATATTCCAGAAACAATGAGCTACCAAGTTTCATGGAAACAGGTGTTTTGTTTGATCACACAACAGAGATTTCTACAACTGGGCCAAGATTCCCTCATGATTCGATCACTCTGACTAGAGATGCAGTTTGAAATCAAATCTTTGCTGTTCAATTGATGTCCTGTGTACAACGCATTTCTTCCTGGACTATTTGAGAAAACCACTTGTCATATACGTCCAAGACTAAAGATGAATATTAGATCAAAAGGAAGTCTAGCTTGTTGTATAAAGTCAATTTTGCAGCAATTCCTTATACTTTGCATCGATGCAGAGAAAAACAGACAGTTTTTGAACCACACCTTTGATGCTCAAGAGATGCAACCGAGTTCCTCTCCCTATCTTTAAGGCCATGGATGTGTCCAGGATCTCGTTCTGCCATCATCTGTATTTATATTGGTAACTCGAGACCAATCCTTTCTGGCTCGGTCTCTGTCTTCACCCGGACGAACTGAAGCTCTGCCAAGACTATTGCAAGCAAAGCCACAAGCCATCTGTCCTTCGCATGTATGCAGAAATTTGACACACCCAGATCTTCCCACATGACTGCCACCAGACCTCCATATCACCTGACCTGATGTCCAGTCAAACCTCAGGAGCGAAAGCTCGGTCGATGTGGTACTACTGTCGCAATACAGACTGAGTGGAGGCATGGATATTCAGTAATAACAGTGTCTCTGATTGTAGCCTCTGTTGTATTTGCAGTGTTAAGAAAGCAAGAGTTGGTGTTCATCGTTTAAAAACTGTGCTTGTCTAGTGTGCTTGAGCACTGATTTTGCACTTTAGGCCATGGTTAATAATAGATGTAAAATTTGCAGCAGAAAAACGCGAAGTGATGCCTCATATTTATTTTCTTATTGCTGCGTCTCCTTTTAGTGTAGCAGAATACAAAAAGAAATCGCTGTTTCACTTGATGCCAACGCTTTGATTTCATTTGAAAGCAGACAGTTTTTTGCTGATTAGGCTCTATGTCGGTCAGCCTGATGATGCACTCTGACTCTGCTGCTTTACTCTCTTGTAAATCTAACGAAGAGTGACAAACTCCTCAACTCTGAGAAATGAATCTTTTTACTGGCTGTCCAAAGAGTAGGTTCTGGCCATTAACAACCTAATAAAAGCATAACGACTAAGATGCAATGGGCATCATATCAGTAGTAAACTATAGTTAGTACAATTTAGAGGATTTACCCAACTGTCTGTAATGTTTCTTTGAATTTATTTTTTCTCAGCTCCTTCCCCTTTTTTCTGATATCCCCTTCTGATATCTGCTCTGTTAGAATTACGTTGAATTTAATATTTTAAAAAACCCATTTATGAATAATTCAGACTGCAGATGCTGCCCATGGTCTGGCTTGCTTCATTTCCATTTCTTCTTCATCACAGTCAAAATCTTTTTTTTTTTTATTGCCCACACACTACAATTTTTATTTTATTTTTTTTTTATCAAACATTTAACTCCATTTTTAGCTTTCCTCCTCCTCTCTCTGCAGAAATTCACCCAACTTCTGTTTCTTTGAGCAATAGGCTTCATTCATTTTAAACAAGAGCCGATATGCATCAGCTCTGTAAAATAATGTTTTTATTATACAGAACTGTTTTATGAAACACTTTTGAAAATCGGGTGAGGGTATGCAGAGTGCTGGGGTCAGCGGTTTGTGCATATTAATCATTTTGAGAAAACCATTGCTCTCTAGCAGTCTGCATTTGGGCAATAAAACAAGTTTTTTTCTTGTGTTTTTCACCCTTCTGTAAGATAATCTAAAAGCTTGGGAATGAAATTCCAACAGTGCACATGTGCCCTCATGTGATCAGATAATTATTGACTAAATTAGCCATGGCATATGTCAACTTGTCAGCTTCACTTTCAATTTCAAGAATTTGGGAAGTCAAAGGGATTGATTGACGTTAATGCAGACAGCATAGGGCAGAAGTAACCAGCCTGGGCACTGAAATGTAATTAATAAATTAATGTTACCATAGAATCATTGCTCATCACTTTAGTCACAATTGTTCTACTATCCATAATAACAATAAAGACAAATGGGAGATTCTTGTCACATGGGAACAATAGTGGTCATGTGGTAAAATGTTTTATTGTCTGTTAATCAGATTGTGCAAGACACAGTGTTAAATATACAACCATTATTTTCTGAATCTTCCTGTTTTATTGAAATGAAAAGCAACAGAGCTTTAAAATGGCAGTAGTGCCTAATTTTGCACACACAGCTATGAGTGTGCTGATTTAGCTAAGAATCACAACCATCACCTTGAAAGAAAAGGCACTGAGATTTGTAAACCAAATTAAAAATGATTTGTTTAGCCATAGATTTTGTTTCACATTGACCTGATGAGGGCAATTCAGGACCAACACCAAATACACAAAATAAATTTGGCTTTGAAATGCTCTGGTCTGGTTTGACCTTTTGTGATTGTTTTTCTTTCTTTCAATAAATTTGTTGGGACTGGTGGCCTTTATTTGACAGTAATCCGATAGGAAGGGGGCAGAGAGAAGGAACAAAGACATGCAGCAAAGGAGCCGCATGTTGTTGCCGCCTCTACGTGGCGGTCAAGCTTGGGACCGCCAGGTCGAGGGCTGTAACCTCTGCATACGGGACGCCTGCTCTGATTACTGCGCTGTGTGACGCCCTTGTGACTCATGTTTAAAGGAAATCTTGTCTTCCACAACGAGAGTATGCCAGGTAATTGCTGATTGTGGCTGAGCATTGTACTTGTGATTGACCATGGCCTCAATGTACTTGTGATTGTAGAACTCCAGTTTAATAATTGATGATAAAAGTAAAAAAAAAAAAATGGCAAAGAAAAGGATTGTTGTAGAGATGCTGACAACTTTACATGTGGTCAACTAGAGACTAATGGGACACCACTTGGACAAACTTGAGGGGAGAAAGTAGAATTTATTTTCTATTCTTATATAATCTTTCATTTTGTTCTAAGTTAAAAAAAATAAGGGAAACTAAATTAAAGCTTAGTTTTTAATTTCAATAACAAAAAATTCAACCCCCTTAATGACAAAACTAAAAATATGTTAAATAACTTAGTAGTTATTTGTGAAATATAACATCTGGTAACAACAAAGGGAAAAAGAAAAACTCACAATATCTGGCGCAGCTCTTCCAATCAGAGAATAAAAAAAAGATGAAATGAAAGTTTTCTTGTACGAAATACCTGGTAAAAGTGGTCAAACTTCACATTATTTATTCATGGTACGCCTCCAATACACTGAAACTTTTTAGACATCTGAACTTTCATCTGCTCTTTTAGAACTAATTCCGTCTCCGGGCGTTATTTAACTCCTTCAAACTTTTCATGGAGAAAATGGAGTTTTCTTTTAAATAAAAAGACCTGTGGGGGTTTGCCTAATGGGTCTCTGTTCCTTGACTCCAAACGTGAATTGAAAGAGAGAATCTTTCTGATTCAGGCTGATGCTAATTAGAGGCTGATTCCCCTGCCAGTCTGCCCAGAAAACACGGAAACTGAAGGACCTAAAGCGCTGCAGAAAGGTGAGGTCATGTGGCTCTCTGAGGATGCTGGATGTTCAGTGGGGGGAGAGATGAACTGTCGGTATGACTGTAAAGTAAGCCTATTTTCCAATCCGAACAACAGTCTTGAGACAAAAATTAAGGCACAGATATACAGAAAAATGTGTACAAGTGCAAACAACCCGGAGAAGCCCGGAGCTTGAATGTAGCCATTTCTTCTTGTTACTAATTATCCAGCTCCCTCAACTAATATGTCACACTTTCAGTCAACATTAAAAGTGTGAAGATTATAAAATAAGAGAGGGTTGTTATAAGCCAGAAACCGTGGACGTGTGGAAGCTCATTATCCAACGGAGGCAGATGTGCTTTTAAAACGCCTGTCACATAAAATGGCAGATGAATGATCTGTGCTCTGACAAACCCGGGGGGGGGCGCCGCGAGTCGGAAACAAATTGGAGAGGAAGAGGCCAGAATCCAATTTAATTATTTAAAGCATTAACACTGCTTGGCAAAGCAGACAGAAAACAGAAAGTAGCGGCTTCTTGCAAAGGGCCGGTGAGCAATTCGGTCAGATGAAGCCCAGTGGTCATTTTGAATGAAGGAGCTGACATTTTTAAACCATGTCGAAATCGGAGGGTTGGTGCTGAGACTCACCTGAGCGAAAGTCCAGGTGAGCCTCATGTGTTTGGTGGCTGCGTAGCTGCACTCCAGCAGCCGGGGCCTGCTGTTCACATCCACCAGACACTTGTTATCGTCGTCATCGATGGTTGGACTGAGAACGCCGAGGTGAATCTGCTGGGAGCTGGTGAAGTACACATTCTGCTGGGAGACAGATACGACTGGGAGTCAGGAGGCAGGACTCTTTTCTGGACATTTTTTAATTATGGGACGTTGTTCTAACCCTGTGAAAAATAAAAATGACACAAATGCATTTTATTCATTACATAATACCATGGAAATGTTTTAGGTAAAATTGCAAACTTAAAATGCTTTCACAAATGAGGAGGTGAGCAAACGAAACAAAAATATAAACCAGATTAATGCTTAATGTTGCTACACTTTCTCTTCATAGTGAATCTGATTCTGGGTGTTGAAGAAATGACCTGAAATCATTTTTGCACGTAAAAAACCTGTGGCCAATTCTGAGCTACTATCACATAACTCATATGTAATTTAATTTGACTTGAAGAAAACGTCTGCTTTTAGTTTATTTGTGTTGTACCATTACCTTTTGCAAACAGATTAGAAAAAGACAGAAAAGAACATTTTTGGCAGCACTCTTGGGAAACGTTGTCCTACACAGCAGTTGGCTATCAATTCTGAAATTGTCACACTCGCTGCTCAAAATCTAAAACACAACGATAAGGCTCACCTGCAATGGCATTTATATCAATCTCCTTGGAGAGGTAGCTGCACCACTTTCAGCCAATTCAGACATTCACCGCATCAGTCAAAAAATGTCATGAATTGGAAAAAAAAGACTTATTTAAATTGCAGGACCAGCAAAACTAAGAAAAAAGTACAACATACTGATTTTAATTTGCAGTTTTGTAGAATTCAGTAGTATTATTGCTCATCTAAGCATCTGTTGTCTGTTTGTATTAATAATTCAGCTAAAAAGTTAATTTTTTCTGCTGAGCTTTGGTTTATTCTCCAGGGATCCAGCCTGAGTGCATTTTAACCATCCCGTTTCCTCCAAAAGCACTGAGAGAAATACACAGGCACTCATGGATTCACAGCTTTGCTAATCCAACATGAAGGTAAAAACAACACAACATGGACTTCAGGTATAATGGAAACCATATTCACAGGTTAGTCAGACATCTATGGTGACACAGAGCACAATAAACGCAGCTCGAGAGCTGGTTAAAAATTTAGCAAGTAATGTTCAGTTTAACTATAAATGGAAATGCAATGAAGATGAAATGGCAGTCAGTGGAGGTCAGAAGTGAGCAAAGTCCTTTCAGTTTGACACTAAAGGTGTATTTTATTCTACAGTGATAAATGTAAAGAAAACATGTTAAAACATGTCTGTGTTTTTACAAAATGGCTATGTACTGCAAAATAAACTGCAAATATTACTGTATTAATAAAAACTGTGAAGGCATCTTTGAAAACAAGTGTTATCCTACACGCTCCTCTTGTAATAAGCCCTTCAAGTAATAAGCCTTGACCAGCTTATTACTACAACCAAGAACACCTGCTGGCCAGAACCTCAGACTGTTTTTAGATTTGAGACTTCATTTTCCTGGTTCAAATTTTACGAGCTTTATGATCTGACAGGTAGGAGAGAGAAAATCCATTTAATGATGTCAAAACTGTTACATTTTATATGCATTTCTACAATAAATAGAGAGGTAGCCAGTACAAAAGAGCTACAACAATTGTAGCTCCTGTCAGAAGTTGAGCTGGAGACTTTTCAACAAGTTGCAGACATGAGTTCACAGATTACTAACACCAAATCACAAGCCATCAACGTTGTCAGACTGGGGTGACACTACTGAGGTGTGGCAACATAGCACTTATCAGGCAGGAAGGCAATCCTTGCCAGGTTTGCACATAATATCAAAACATGCATTAACTGGGCTGTTCCATAAAGGAGTGCATTTCAACTCAGTGCAAATGCTCGCCAGAGGCCTTCAGGAAAAATATGTCTTGTCATTAATATTTAAGTAGTCTTGCAATGTGTGAGCAGGCTGTCAATCTTTTGCCACTAGTCCAATAAATTTGACAAGATGGCAACACATTAAACAGACAAACAGGACCCTTCTGAACACCGATTATATTACAGGACACATGTTGAAGCTTAAAACTCTTCAAAAGTTGTGGTTTTCTTTTTCTGGTTGTGCGACGTTGCGGGCAGAAAACATTAATGTCTTTGCTTGAAAAGACCTGTAAAATGTTAGGTGCACCGATAAAAATCATCTACAAATGATCAGAGCGTGTTACTTGCATGTTGTAATCATAATTTTTAAAAAAAGAGAGAGAAAAAGAAAAAGAAATGTATAATTACCATCCAATTCAGTATCAATTTCTGCTTGGCTCAAATCATTACTGAGCAAAAACCAAGGGATAATTTTGGCAGCTTTGCTTATCAAAATGTACATTTTTGCTAAATTACAGGCACCAGATTAAACAAAGATCACAACCATCATCACTGGACAAAAAAACAATGTAACCTATGTTTTTAAAGAGGTTTAGGGTTCATCAATGTTAACCACAGGAGGTTCTCTTAAAGTAGGCTAATTTCTGAATGCTAATTGTGTGTTTCTCTTTCCACCTGCAAAATTAACCAACATACTCCACATTATTTCCACTTTTCATGTTGTGAGAAATAAACAAAAATCCAGGAGCTGCACTAATTAGGATGAAGAACAAAAAGGAATGGAAACAGAAGGAGTGGCAAAGGGTGGAGGAGTGAGCAGAGAAAAATAGGTTCAGACTAAAAATTAGTTAGAGAAAATATTTAGATACCTGGAAAAAAAAAGAAACATAAAGAGGCAGTATGCATGCAAGTGTTGACCCACTTTTCAAGCCTGGAGAGGTAACTTGAAACCTTTTCATTAAAAAAAGGTGAGATATGTGAAGCATCTCGCCGAGTCTGCCATTAAAAAAAGATGAGTAACGAGAACAGAGAAGGATCAAGGACAACATGAAATCTGTTCAAGTGGAAAAAGTTTAAATCGGGGTGAAAAAGTAAGCAGAAAGGTGACGGAGAACAGAACAAACAGAAACTCTGACTCGGTGTGTGTGTGTGTGCGTGTGTGTGTGTGTGTGTGTGTGTGTGGGGGTGTGTGTGTGTGTGTGTGGGGTGTGTGTGTGTGTGTGTGTGCGTGTGTGTGTGTGCGCGTGCTCCCACAGGAGTGTGCGCGAGGGCTCACAGGAGGTAATTGATGAGAATGATGACCGTCTTACGGGAACAAGACATTTCTAGATAGGAGCCATTATTGCACTGTGAAACAGCCACAGAACCTTTCAGCCTGCATTTAAAAACTCCTTGAGACAGACAATAGTTCACACTGATGAATCTGATAGCTTGAATGTGCGTAGTTTGCTAAGAATGTGGGAACGACTTTGAAGAAGGGTATAATTCTTGGTGTACGCATGTGTGCTGATGCAGGTGATTAAGCTTGCTTCTTTCTGTAGATCCAACGGGACGCTTACTACCATCTCCTCTCCTGTCACAGTGACTTACATCTGATAATAGAAAGATTAGTTCAGAGCTTTTTTGACAGATAACAATCTCTCCTGACAGATGTAAATGTTAACACGTTTGGACAACACAGGAGCTGTCAGCTTTGGGTGGATTTGTGGTGCTTAAGACCAGCGTGAGCAGATGACATTTCGATTAAAGGGAAATCTTCCTGCAGTTATAAAAGAACTAGAGCTTGATGATCTAATCTGGCCCTTCTGGTTCATCTCGGGTGACTGACTATAATAAATTGGAGGTTATTGGACTGACCAGGTATTTATCGTTCGAGGGGGTTTTATGGTGCCCTACTGCCAAGGTGCAAAAGATGTGAAGCTTTTTTTATTTTTGTATTTTTGTCGTATAATATGTTGTGGACCTTATTTAAACCATCATTGTTAATGTAATGTAAATAATATTTAGAGGGGTAACAATACAGGCTTGAGGTTTAAGCTGAAATAATCGAAGGAGATGAACCAGCAGAATTTCTCATTCACCCATTGATTTCCAGGCCATTTCAAAGACGTTTCAGACCAATGGGCTCCATCAGGGTCAAGGTGTCAGCAGAATTTCTTTGAAATTGTCTAGAACATTAATGGTGAATGAAAGATGTTTTATAGAAGCTTGTCACTATACCTACATTATTCAAAGTAAGGTAGGATTTGAGGACTGACAATTTTTACTGATCAATGTGAGGTAATCACCCAGCCTGAACTACATTATAGATGTTGGCCTTCATTGTAAGAAATTATAAATCCTAGGACCTATTTCTGCATCTTTCCCCAACCTCATTGATAGAAAGGCTTTTCCATTGGCCGGTTAATTTTGTTCATTTTTACTGAAAAAATGTTGGTATCAGTTTCAGTATAGTTTGGTCTCACCAATTAGCGCACTCGATCATGGGTGCAATTTGGAGGTGTGTGTGCTTAATTCTATGAGGAAAGCAGCACTGCAGTTTAAGCCTGAAAGGGGCTTGTGGATAATTTGGATCTTTAAAACAGATAAACCCTGTGCAACTGCTTGGGTGTTCACCTTTCTCTTTAAGAACAGAAAATTATGCAACTGTGTGATGAAGATATGAACATTTCTGGTTTTATTATGATTTCTGACCCTGAAATCATAATAAAACATTAGTAATATTAACATAAACTCTAATCCTTCTCCTTATTACAATCATTTTCAGCTGTAACAGTAAAAGCTGCAGAACAGCATGGTTTCAGGCAAATGTGGTATCGGCGTTTTTTCATTATATTCAAGAAAGGGATTACAAAACACAGTTTATTCTTCCAGATGGCTCTACCGAGGTCATGCTGGTTGGAGTCAGTTTGAAAACAAATTTTTCTCTGCCTCAGAACAGTAGACACAACAACATCAAGGAAGATTTAAAATCACCACATGGGAGGCTGCTTCAAAGCTATGCTGACTTCTCTTTTAATCGCTTTTGTCTGCAATGACAGCCATCACTGGATTGCTTTGATACCAAAGAAAACTGTGATGATTCTGAGCCCGAACCCTCAAAAGGCATGTTCAGATTTGACAGCATCACAGCTCTGACAGAGCATTTAAGTTGTTGAACCAAGGAAAGTTCTTAAATTGGCCCCACAGGCTGTGCACCACAATGGCTTCTGCTATT